ATATGAAGTATACATGTAATGTAGGTTGTATTGCAGTACAACCCTATAAACTAAGATGCAATATTAATATGAGCACAGGACACTCTATTATCAGAAGTGTTTCACTTAGATTTCCCTTTTCATGAGTTTATTGTTTATTATTCTCTAAATTCTGGCATATTCAAATACTTTTATGATATGAAAATTAATGAAAGAATTAATTTTTTCCATCCTTCTGATATAATTATAGTTTCTATATCAAAATTGCATACACGTCACTTTGCACGAACAATTAACAAACATGTTGTTATGCCTAAGTTAAAATTGTTAAAATCTAATACTTGCTGTACATATCATAGTATACAGCTGCGTTATATGAATTGATATATATATATAATTAAATAATGCCACATTTAACAACATTTAGATATGACTTTCACATGAAATATCTGTTTTCATACTTGAATAAATAGCTGTTCTGAAAAACAATATTTCTAAATAGACAGACTGGCTAGTGGCTTGTATGAGTTATTTCTTGTTAATTGAGATTGGTTCCATAACACAAGGTGAAACATCGTTTATGGTATTGTCTTTTTACATGCAATGTTGTGGTAGGACAACCTCTCATTCAGCTCAGGGTAAGGTGGACCCTTGTGTGACACTCCTCATACTTAATATTAAATTTAGCCCTCCAGCTTGCCATACCTTACTTTTTTATTGAGATACATAATGTGATTATATAAGTCATAACTCAACCTTTACAAAATATATTGCCTCTTCATCGTGTCCTCCAAAGGACTACTGTAGACATTCAACTTCTAACCATTTTCATTAGAATAACTTAACTGTTTTCTTGTCTTATACATACAGTTCCAGAAGTAGTAGTATCAAGTCTAAGAGATGCTTTATTTAACGTCAATTATGGTAAAAATTCCATCAAAAGACGACAGGAAAATATTTTAATAACCTTAGCTGTCATGTCAAACCTTAAATAAAACAATACTGTAAAAAACGTTATTTATGTCTTTTGTATGGTGGCATATTTCTGCCATCTACTTGCGACTTACGAGTTACGTATGTCGACATAATTATTGAAAGATGTCGACATAATCTGAGAATATGTCGACATAATCTGAGAAGATGTCGACATAACTTTAAAATTATGTCGACATATTATCACATTTGCCGAGATAATTTTGCCGATATGATTATCTCGTAAGCGGGTAACTCGGCTTTTTATCGTGTTAATGCTCGGGTGTGACATCGACTTGCCACTTACGACTTGCCACTTACGACTTGTTTATGCCGACATCCTATAGATATTACCGACTTACCAAAACGAGGCTTGTGCACGAGGACCGCGAAGGTGGACTGATGCTGACTGGTGACCGATACTGGTGAGATACTTGGTAAAATCAATGTAAATATGGGAAATCAAAGATATGGATATTACAGTAGACCGTAAGATTTATAAATTTACCACTGGCATACCCGCCGGGTATTATTTTCAAACCCATTAAGATTAAAATGTACCGAATAAAAGTGAATTGTAACGTGTACAAGCTAGCAGTGTTGTTAATTCACAAAATAGATATTTTTCCGACCATTGATTGCAAGACAATACTTTTTTCACGAAATGACATGCATTAGATAATCATGTGTATGTAAATGTATGGGCCATGATCAAAGGGCCATATATAATGATATGTAAAACTGAAAAATGTACAGTAATGGGGCATTTCACTCCCATTTGGAAAAATGATATATATGGGCCATTCAAACAATTTAATGGGCCAATGAACTCTTAATAGGGGTCCTAGAGCAAAATTAACACCATAGAATAGCCCATATAGACGTATCAACACGTAGTTTATTAAGCGGCCTCAAAGTGTTCCCAAAATACACACACATACATTACACGCATGCATCTTGCACACAGGGGAGGCCGTCCTTAAATGACCTTAGCTGTTAATAGGACGTTAAACAAAATCAAACAAACAAACAAACTCAAAGTGTTATGGGGGAAAAACCGCTTATGCGCTTGCAAAAACTTGCATGGCGGCCAATTAGGAGTCCTTGGATACGATTACGATTTCTTTATTTAAACGATATATCCACACTAAAAAATCATACGAACATCGAGTACGAAATCAGGTATATCTATTCTTTTGGGAAAATCTTCAATGTTTGGCACTTACATCCTAATAATTTAGCGATCGTGCAATTTGTTGGATGGTCGCAGATGGGCGTGTCAGTTCTCCCCAGTAACTGGTGGATCGGGGTATCAAGTCAATCATATTTATTATTTTTCCTTTCTCCGATATATCATCTTTAAACCTGTTTGTGGTATACTTAACTTTGATCTTTTCCGACCAATATAGGAAATTTTTCAAAGCATCCTTTGCCATCATGAAAATTAACATAAAAAACGACGATGTTGTCGTTTTTCCAGTTTCCGTTTGGCAAATATTAACGTTAATATGTAACCTCATCGTTTCTCAACGATAACAACAAACTCTTTTATACGCCATTGTCAAACTTGTGTTAATGTAATGGCATGTAAAAAAGTCTTTCTTGTCTCAGGTAAATTGTGTCATAAATGACGTCATAAAGTTTTTTGGAGTAAAATATAAATTATCATTGGGCCTGTCTAGGGGTAATATTGGACAAGCAATTAATGTTGGAGGCACAGCACTCTTTGGAAAGTCGTTTTTGCACTGGTTATAACTTGGAAAACCACATGTGTGCATCTCAAAATAGCTGATACATTACAAATAAAATAAAAAAAGTAAATATAAATGTGTATTTTCTGTAGATTAATCAGGGATAGACACTAACTTTTTTTGCTTGGTAGTCTACAGGACTAGTTGAATATATTATTTATGTTGTCAATGTAACTAGTCCTAAGATTTCCTGATAAGGATAAGGAAAATCTACAGCACGAAACATCAAAAGAGGACTTAATATAACTACTGCCATAAAAATATGGTCAAGATTTAGGAAAATTTTAACAATTATTATTTGATTTCTTGACATAATTAAAAGATATGATTCATGGCAGATAGGGGGTTTAAATTCAAGAAGAGTTGGCACTATTCAGGGCAGAACTGTTTATTCAACCACTCAACTAGGGCGTAGGAGACTTTTCAAATGACGAACTGAAGTGAATCTTACAAAGGCCATTGCAAATCAGAGAATTTACATTGAACATGCAATCAGTTCAATGAAAACCTTCAGGATCTTCAAATATGAGGTACCTCTTGGCTGATACTCTTGTTCACCACTTGGATGATATTGTAAAAGTGGTTGCTGGAATTTGTAATATGCATCCATCTCTACCGAAGTATAAGTAAATAGTAATTTTATCAGCAGCACCAGAACCTGTTCCTCAATATATCCCACTATTGCTTTTTCATGATCATCCAAACTTTCAATGCTCACAAATTAATGTTGTGTTTATATAAGTCACTAGTTCACCTGCACTAGGTCTGTGTTGTCAAATACAATCCAGTTTTCATAAGATCCACAAAGCTTCAACTCTTCTTTAACAAAAGTATTTTTAGGGCTGAAATAATATATTGATATGTGTATCTCTGTATCAGTATCACAAAATTTTGTTAAGACAACATGTATCCAGTGATACATATGTGTATATATTTAATGATTTGTAATAAAAGTGCAAAATTTGGAACATGAACAATTAGTGAAATTCACAGGGTCAAATGTACACTGACACTGCTAGGATCAAATTACAATGTACTGCAAATATTCCTTAAGATCCCCAATAATTAATTATAGTGTGATACACTTTCAGTCATACAACTGTGCGTGGTGTCTGGTCATTCGTGTCAATAGTTTGGTTGATTTGATAATAGTAGAATATGACCAGCACAGAGACCTGGCTCTCCGGATGATTGATCAGGCAAATGGGAACTGAACAGTACCGGTCTTTATTAATATTTTAGCCTAAAAAAGGAAATATTTACAATTATCTAAGTAATACCCACTGTATCCATATGGCTCTCCCAATACCTTATTGAGTTATTGCAATTGGTAATACTTGGACATGAAATTGTGCAAATATGGTTAAAATATAGAGCACATTCTATCAGAGTTTTGATTGAATATAAATTAAGCAAGTATATAATAATATATATATCTCCATAATTAATTGATGTATGGACATTAAACTTGGGATATAGGTACAACATGAGAAGGCGGTGTGTCACATACTAAAACCAGGTCATTGCGACCTCTACTTTACCTTTGACCTTGGCTGTAAATTCTGAATAACAGCATTATACAAGATTACAAGTTTTCGGAGCATATCTCGGCCACTATTTCATATATAGACTTCAAACATGGTATACAGGTACAAGATGAGAAGGCAGTGTATCGCGTACTAAAACGAGGTCACTGTGAACCTTTACTTGACCTTTGACCTTGACTGTAAATACTGAAAAACAGCATTATGCAAGTTTCCGGAGCATGTCTCTGCAACACTGTTCAGTATAGGAACAAATATATGTGGGGTGCGGGGGTATCCGTTAATACAATTGCTGGGCGTGAAGAGATGAATACATCCATACCACCAAGGAACTTACTCCCTGGGTCATAACATGCAAACAGTTGAGATCCCCACCCTATAACCATATAATATATACAATTGCTGGACATGAGACAAATACACTCATGCCATATATGACTATATGTACTAGTTATAGGATTACCCCCGAGGTCCAGCCCCGCCCCTGGGGACTAGTCTCATAACTTCAAATTTATTTTCAGAATATTTAGTGCCTGCGTTGCATTAAAACCAGGTGAGCGCTGCAGGCCCAACGGGCCTTTTGTTTTTGTTCTTTAAGCAACCTTTTACGGTTCTTATACTTTCAGTTTTGCACCATAATGGATATACCCGCCATACCAATTGCTGGTTTGCAAGTGATTGGGGAGTCGCTTACCAGAGATGACGTCATGGAGAAGCGGTCAGTGAACGACAAATTCACCGCATTTTAAGAAATATGAATCTCTTCAGACGTAACAACCAAGCATCACTAGAAGATGTTGTGAGAGCAATTTTGCATGAACTGTCTGGAAGTAGCCAAAACTTGGGATATCGTTCGAGGCGAAGACGATTGTTAGTTGATCATGAACTTGTTGCTTCCTCAGAAACTGTTAGATTGGCACTTTCCGTTCTGGATGCTGAAGGTGTTACAAGAAGAGGTAGAAGGTGCCTCCGCCGAAGAGCATATGTTAATAAAGGCCCAAATTTTGCTATTCATATGGATGGTTGGGATAAACTAAAACCATTTGGTGTATCAGTGCATGGTGCAGTAGATGGTTTCTCAAGACGTGTCCTGTGGCTAAAAGCATGTGATTCCAACAAAAAGCCACAGTATGTTGCAAGGTTTTACATGGACTACGTAAAGGAAATAAATGGTGTACCCATGATCGTTTATGCAGACAGAGGGACTGAAAATGCCATTACACGCGATTTACAGTTTGCTCTTCGATGGAACCACCTTGATCCATTTCAAGGGCTATCAAGCTTCATCTATGGATCATCTACCAGAAACACACGCATTGAAAGATTTTGGCGAAATATGCGCGATATGTGTGGTCATTTTTGGATCAACCATTTCAAGGATATAGCGGACATGGGTGTATTAGATACATCTGACAATGTTCACTTGGAATGTGTACGTTACTGTTTCTTGTTGTTGATCAATCATGATTTGAAAAAAGTTATACGTCATTGGAATGAACATCGCATTCGATATAATCGAAATTCAGAATCTCCTTCCGGGAAACCAAATGTCTTGTACTTTCAACCTGAAGTGTTCTTGGCCACTGAGAGCAAGCTGCCTTTGCCAACCCAAGTCGATGGATTGGAGCAAGAATATTGCATATACCCCCCTGCAAGAGGTGTGTCAATGGAGTTTGACACTCTTGCAAGCTGTATTATTCGTGAACAGGGACTAGCATACCCACCTTCCAACGTAGTTGAAGCAACAGAGTTGTTTTGTCAACTCATTTTCCACATTGACCACTTGAATTAGAAGGGACATATGAGGCTAATAACTGAGCAGTACTTGAGTTTTTGACAGTATGATCTTTACTGTATTCATGGTAAAACGCCTAATAAAATGTATTGTGTGTTTCCCATTACCCTATACTTACATGTACCCAATTTGTGTTGCCCAACTAGAGATTTTTTAAGCAAACTGATTTTTGGCCCCACCACAAATATTGTTTTAAATTAATAATAGTTATTTTCGGAATCTATGATAAATGTTATTATGCATTAAAATTGTGTGAAATTTTACATGCATAAATCTACATGATAGTTCACCCTATTTCTTTTGGAGATGTACCGGTAATGGGAAATGCACTATTTTTTATTTGGCCTGTGAGCACTTCACATTTTTCGATTGAAATTTACAATCATTCAAAAGAATGCATGTACTTCACCAAGCACTAGTCTATATATTGTCAGATTTATACAAATAATGAATACATGTACAAATTCCACCTGATGAGTTTTGCTACTTTAATATCATAAATAAATGATAATACATGTACATGTGTTCGAAGCTACATGTATATTATATGTATTTGTAGTTAGTGCCACACTTTCCCAATAACATAAACAATCTTGGATAGTATGCATATGTTTGTAAAGCAGTTAAAAATAAAAAAAATAATTAAGTAAATTCATCAATTTTATTTTTAAATGGTGGCGACTTCAAGTGCCCTAAGGTATCTCTGGTTCTCCAAACGCACTGTTTTGCCTACCAGTACTACCAGAGGGGACCACAGGATTGCACTCAGTTTGGCCGTCCATGCGTTTGTATGAGGATGTCAGACATTGTGTGGGCTTCATCCATCCATCCGTCAGTCATTCAGTCCTGACACTTTGGCCGGAGCATTTGAACACCCCATGGCCACTATCTATGATATGATGGGCTAACACTAGGGATTTGTAATATCATGATGTCACAAGGCGACAGGTTGTTATAATGAGGGCTATAATTTGTTAGCATCTCTTTACATATATTTTCTATATGAGTGGATCTCCGTTTTTACGGACATTTCTATTGATGTATACGTAACCGTCTTTACATTGTAACACTAAACACAATTATTTGGTTTTAATTACAAGTTTATGGTATCATTCCAGTCCTGCACGTACAGCTCTTCATATATAACAAGTCATATGAGGATGACATATCCCCCCGGCTACATAAGTCGAGTGATACTGACACCCTTGAAACTAGAGAAAGCGCAAAGCTCACAATGCCCCCAACCCCCGCATGCTGGACCTATGGCCAACTGCATCAATATTGTTGTCCTCTGAAACTATATTTGAGTATTAACCTTGACCTTTGACCAATAATGCGTCCGAGGTATGGTTAAGGCAAACAAGTGTGTGAAGTTTCATCAAAATAAGTGAAGGAATACAGCTGCTTGAGTGATGACAAGCAATGTCTGGTCAAATTCTATTTTTAGTAACAGTGACCTTGACCTTTGACCAGTCATGCCGGTATTAAAATTTGTCCGAGGTATGGTCAAAGCAAACAAGTGTGTGAAGTTTCATCAAAATAAGTGAAGGAATACAGCTGCTTGAGTGATGACAAGCAATGTCTGGTCAAATTCTATTTTTAGTAACAGTGACCTTGACCTTTGACCAGTCATGCCGGTATTAAAATTTGTCCGAGGTATGGTCAAAGCAAACAAGTGTGTGAAGTTTCATCAAAATAAGTGAAGGAATACAGCTGCTTGAGTGATGACAAGCAATGTCTGGTCAAATTCTATTTTTAGTAACAGTGACCTTGACCTTTGACCAGTCATGCCGGTATTCAAATTTGTCCGAGGTATGGTCAAAGCAAACAAGTGTGTGAAGTTTCATTAAAATCCGTGAAGGAATACAGCTGCTTGAGTGATGACAAGCAATGTGGGACAGACGGACGTTGTGTGAGAGTATATTATATATATATATATATTACATTATGGGGATGTTTTCTTGTAATTCTGTTCAAATATGTGAAAAAAATCAGTTTCCTTTGGGATTTTGAAATTTATTTTTACATAAATTTCCTCACAATGCACCGGAAACCCTCACTGTATGCACATGGACTTTTTTTATAAACGGAATAAGCAGAAATTGAATGACATTGTGGAGATATCCCTACAATGTCAAGACGAGGGCTAAATTTTGGGGATATTTCCTTTGTTTTCGACATTGAATGTCATTCAATTTCTGCTTATTCCATTTATAGAAAAGCCCATGTGCAGTGAGGGTTTCCGTTGTGTTTCTGGTGCATTTTGTGAAGAACGTTATATAAAAATAAATTTCAAAATCCCTTAGGAAACTGTTTTTCACATTTTTTTTTTAACTGAATAATCCGAAAACATCCCAAGAATGTTACTCTCACACAACGCCAGATGGACAGACGCACAGACACTGATCGTTACCACTATATCCCCCAACCAGAAGGCCGAGGGATAAAAACCGAATGATTTTTGCACATTTTTAGATCGCCTGAAACTTTATCCTAAGAATTTTGGGGCAACATCATCTTTGAAGTGATGGCCATTTAATTTATTTTTTTTATTTTTTTTCAAAAAAAGCTCAAAAACTCAATTTGTTAAAATTGGCCCATGGTTTTTCTATATAGAAATGATCCCTGGGGATCTTGTTGTCGCATTAGAACCGGCCCAACCCTGCTCATTTGCAATCCTCAACTTCAACAAGTCCTTAGTCCAGCGACATTTTGAAACAGCAGGATCGTTTGATGTCGTGGACACACGTGGTAGTACATGAACATGAACATTTTATTACAAGCAGATTAGAACCAGCAAAGAAAAACTACCAGTATATAAATTTATACTTTCTTTATTTGAAGGAAAGACACAATTAAGCACATGTAATTGCCGTAATAACAATTATTTACCACCGATAAGCCCAAGGATCCCTAGTCCATGAAATGAGTGAAATGTGGCGCTGAGCTTAAAACCGGACACCAAATATCAGCCACAATCATTTTATGTCAGGATTGATCAGGGATTATTATGTTGTCAAAGTGGGGGTGGCCTTTAATCCGGTCATGTGGTGTTTTTTTTGGGGGGGTGGGGGGGGAGAGGCATTAAACTATAAGCATGGAATTATCAGCGGTAACATACTGGCATATGTATGGTGGCATATTTCAGCCATCCACTTACGACTTACGTATGTCGACAATTATTGAAAGATGTTAACATAATCTGAGAAGAATTCAAGATGTCGACATACGTAACTAACTCGTAAGTGGATGGCAGAAATATCCACTATATTCTGCTACAAATTGAACAAGAGGCCCATGGGCCTAAACGGTCACCTGACTAAAGTGACGCGAGTCGGCACATTATCATAACTTTCTGTCATATCTATATTCGTTTTGTAGTAAATATTGGCCCCGGGGTGTGACCCCAATTGGAATTACAAAAGGGTGCAGATTAAACAACCGGTACTTTTTCCTAACAGATTTGTCACAGGACAAAAGGATTAAAATGCTGGAGAGAAAATAAACAAAACTAAAACATTTATTCGAGAAGAGATAAGCAATTTGTCCATTGGACATTTTGACCATGGAACTTTGTGTTTCTTTGTTCAATTCTGAGAAACTTTCATTCATAATGTCATAACAAAATGCTTACCAGTCAATTTATATACAACTAATAACGATAACAGTTAACCTGTTTTTTACAAACATGTACCGTCATATAAGCAAGGAATATTTGAAACAGAGATGAGAACAATATAATATATATACATAAATACACTTAATTATACATTTGGCATATCAGGGGCTACTCACTCCACTACATGTAACAATAACATGTACTAAACTTAAACTTGTATTTTGAAGCTTGACTCTGAGATGTCCCAGAGAAGCGTTAGAATGAAAAGCGCTTGACTCCGAAGATAACCTAGAGAAGAGGCATATGAAGCGACTTGACTCTTAAGAAACCCTGGAGAAGCTGAGAAATAGAATATTCGACTTTTAAGCCGATTAAGAGCAACCAAGACTACCTTTACTCTGAAGCCGATTCATGAGAAGTAGGATTTATCTCGAATCTGGTGACCCATGAGTAGCTAAGTCCCAGTCTTAGTAATGGAATATTCTAATAAAATATTGGGGGTAAAATTTCCCAGGATTTAATAGCCCCCCAGGAATTAATAGCCAATGCAAGAATAACCAAATAAGGAGTGAATAGCCCACCTAACCTAGTAAGTAACAATGAAAGTACATGAAATAGGACACATATGACTTAAAGCAAGATTACATCTGGCACTTCAATAAATTTATAGATTTGTTAACAAAACAAACAAAAATCATCAATAAAGTAACAAATATGACCCATAACACATCTTCAAACACCTGGTGAAATATTATACATAATAGTGATATACATGCAATAGGTCTGCAAATTGTTAATAAGATAAGGCATATATATAGTAAACTTTTGATCAGTCAAATGGAAAAAAGGCAAAAACTGTATACAGTAAAGCAAATGTAATACAAATTAAAAACCAGAGCACCACACCGCTGCAAGGTTGCCGCAATAAAATCGGCTAGTTTTCCAGAAACAGATGCCAGAAGTTCTGGCAAACAAAATGTGAATACGACCCATATTCTTACTATTTTTTAAAACTTTGATTTAATACAATGAATATTGCTTATTAAGTCTAAGCAGCGTTTAAAAATGCATGCAGTATTTAAAGTATTTAAAACTGAAAACAGGATCACTAAATTGTGTTTGGTGTTCCTGGGTCTGGTAAGACTATAGCATTTTGAAAAAAAATTACAGATATAAAGGATTGATTTTGTCAATGTCTTGACGGCAGATGTGGCAATGTTGATGCCTCTCCTCCAGTTCCACAGCACACACAAGGCAAACCAAATGGCCACAAGGATTGAAAAATGAATCGCAATATCTGTCTCTGCAAATTCCACAAGCCGGCATTCTTGGCATCTTCACAGTCTGAAAAAAAAATGGATAACAAAATATCAGGCATGGTTTTAATCAAAATTTCTCTCAATTGCTCTTAACGATTTCCTTAAATTATTATGTAATATACACTGCCCTCCAGTTCCTTGACACCTTAATTTTCTTGTCAGTTTGCAACTCAATCGAAAAAAAATAACAAGAGATGCATAATTCGCCCATCGAGGCTTAAGGCGATTCTCTTTTGCCTTCTCGAAAATTGATGGAGATCTGCGTACCGAAATAAACAAAGGGCAATTACTCTGTCAACTAGAATGCAATTCCGTCTTTGCAGAGTTGTCTCCCCTTTGGGTAGGTATGTGCGTCATGGTCATTGTGATGTCATTATATTGCTAAGCAACTGACGTAAAATGCGGGAAATTAAAGACAGAAAAAACGTTGTTTCCCTGGGAAACTGATGACGTCACAATTGTATCGACGTCATTTACATACCCAAAAGGGAGACAACTCTGCAATATGCAAAGACAGAATTGTGAACCTGTGGCATTTCCTGAATATGAGTAGAAGATTTTTTAAAATTTGCTGAAATTTCCTTTTGGGGGTCCCGCCCCTCAGATTTAAGGATCAATTGGACAATACTAGTTTTTCAATATCTGTATGAAATATATTATATTATTCAATATACAGAAATGCTTTTAGACTAAATTCCCTGCATTACCACATGTTCTTTTGCTCAATTGTCCTGTCTGGTTTCTGTACATTATCTATTTGTTGAATTTTAACCCAATTAACTTACGACAGGTGAACCTTGATCTGTGGGACCTTGCAGCATGACATTTGAGGGTTCGATCTGGTGTTGTTCACCTGTAGGATTCTGCTGTTCTGTCGGCTGTATCAGGGATTCAGTTCTGTTCTGTAAACAAATAAGTGGAGATAACTTCACCATGCGACATTGAGACATGGAGTAAAACATTGATGTAAGCTCGTGCAATAATATGTGCTGAGCTCATGTGATTAATTTGTACAGCAAATTGCTCTACAACATTATATACACATATAGTATGGAATAGTATGATGTGTTACGAATATGTGCGGCTGTGTGTGTGTGTGTGTGTGTCAGCCCTTCCATTTGTAGGATTTTGAATCCCCACCAGCTGACGATGTATCCAATCCAGTCAAATATGGTGAATCTCTATCATATAGTTTCGGAGGAGAAGTAATTTAAAGCAATATGGTCAAATTACCCCCTTTCAGTCCTGTCCCTCAACCTCTGCAGTAGTCAGCCCTTCCATTTTTAGAATTGTGAATCTCCACCACATGAGGATGCTTCTAGCCAAATATGGTTCATATATCTAGCAAATAGTTTCAGAGGAGAATTACGCTATTGAAAGCAATATGGTCAAATGACCCCCTTTCTGTCTTTCCCCTCAGCCTCTTGAGGGGATCAGCCCTTCCATTTGTAAAATTTCAAATCCCCACCACGTAAAGATGCTTCCAGCCAAATATGGTTCTTATCCATGAAATAGTTTCAGAGGAGAAGTGTAAAGTAATATGTTCAAATATATGTGTGTAAAAGATGCTTCTAGCCAAATTTGGTCAAAATTCCTTTAGCCATTTCGGAGAAGGAGTTGAAAATGTTGAAAAGTTGAAGATTGACTGCAGAAACAATTTTGGTTCTAGCCATGCAATGTTGAAGTCTGATCAATGAGCGTTACATCCTATTCATAGTACAAAATATTATCCCCTTTCTCCATTTCCCGATTATGAGAAGATATTTTTAAGACTTGCCGAAATTTTCCCTTTTGGGGCCCTTCCCCTCAGGTCCCTGGGAGTTCCCTTAATTTTTGCGAACATGTTTTCTCTTGGCCTAGGTATTATTAACACCCAATTTTGTTCAAATGTGTGCATTCATTGCAATGTTATAGCCAATTTGATTCATTTCCTTATATAACACTAGTAAAACTTGACCCCCGTGTATGGCCCCATATGTACCCCAGCAGAACCGGCATGAACAAACTTAGATCTTGACACCTAAATGTACCTTTTGTACAACACCATTCACCTGTGGCATTTCCCTACTAGAAAAAATGAGCAAAACTCACAATCCCCTACCCCGAAGAGATGGGTGTGAAAGACACAGTATCTTATACCTTTGATGACAAACACACCTGTGAAACTGAGTCAAACATGAAAACTTAATGTTGACGCCACTGCCGCTGCAAAAGTAATATCTATGTCTAAAATGGCCCATTGAAATTGTTCAATTTTAAGAATTTACTATGTAATGGCCCATAGCGATCTAGTAATACATTAATATAACCTGAAAATGGCCCGTTCATTCAAATTTCTTCCTAATCACTGAGCATGAAATTCGCATGAAAAGTCAAATTCACTTAATTCCACCTGATTTTTTTCACTTGAAATTCAAGTGAAGACATATTGCTTTGTTTGATGATGACCTACCAAAATGCCGTCCAAAGAGGGCAAGTCCCAGTCATCATCACTATCCTCATCCTGAAACATAATATAGTTAATATATGTGAATATTCAATCACAAAAACTAAAAGCATTGAACACAGTTTAATAAAAGTTATTCGCAGAACTAGTGACAGAACATTAAAAAACTAATTTGACCTTTGATTTTGAAGATTACAATGACCCAATTATAGTACATTCCACACATTATTTGGGGTGAACCTTCAGTGTTCCAGATAAGCTGCGTACATGCGTAATTTACCATTCACTTTGGCACTTGAACCTTTATCGCATTCATGTTAAGTATATTTGTCAACTCAAACGTACACACTGAAACACATCTGAGCCGGTAGATATTTTAACCACTCAGTAAGCCAGATTACCCCTCACTTCCAAATTGAGGGGTACTATAACCCCATGGTCAAAAAGATACCTGGAACACTGACATTGGTACTCCATGTAACCTTTGTGGAATTATATATAATTTGTCCGTTACATTAATAATATACCCCCCACTCGCTCCCACATATTTTTATTTTTTTTTAGTTACTTACCTATATTTTTACTAATGCAAAGAGATATGAATAATTCTGATATTTTTATTTTCAAAAAAAATTATATCGCCACCGCGATTGGAACCGTGGACGGTTTGGTGATGGAGCAAGCACGTAACCGACTGAGCTAGCGGTCAAGATGTCTCCTAGGTTAACATTTCTTTGCCACTTTTCTGTTAGCATATGGAATGTCAGATAACTGTTTGAATTACCTCCTTTGTGATATATTAGTATATATTAAGTAATCATATATTTTCCTGAAAAGACAAGAAAAGTAGGCCCGTAGCATATATTTTTGATTGCATAACAATTGAAATAATGTAATTTGGAATGCATCACTGCAGCTTTTGTAACTGATTATACATACACTACGCCTCGTTTTATTTACTTAAATTATCAGAAATGTGATAATTATCTATTTGGTCGTTATAATTGGTCAAAATAGGTAAAATAAAAGCAGAACTGTCTGGTATGTGTTACAATACACTTTGTTCTAATGATTTTAAAGCATTATTTTTTTTGTTTTGGATGAAAAAAAAATGTTTAAAAAAAGTTGTCAGCGTTACTTGGAATATGTAACTCCAAAAAAATACCCGCTACTAATACTTTTCTTTGTTTGTTTTGAGAGGTAAGAATACCAAGTTGCTAGAAAAATTGTTGTTTAAAGGGCTTAAATACAGTAGAAAGAAGTCAGTGGTACTCTCTTTTAAAAGCCAAAAGTTGACGATGACGGACAGACGCTGTGCCATGGCATAAGCTCACAATTGGCCCTTTGGGCCAGGTGAGCTAATATAGCCTATATTACATACTTTCAGTTTCATGTTTTTACCTGTCCTACTAGCTTTGGTTTTGATAACAGATATACCCTAGGTCGTGTTGTAAGGCACAGTTTTGCTGCATAACTGCCAACAGTAAATGTCATTCTGTTGAGGATATTTCCCTTAAAGTCCCCCAGAGAGTGTTCAAACTCGTTGTATCTACCCTCCTCTGACACATCCGCAATGAAATTTAAAAAAGAAGAAAATAAATAGAAACGAGACATTATTTTTTTGGCCTTGAAAACGAGTAATGCAGGACAATAAAATCAGATGGGGTGTAACTCAAAAACTAGTAACTATTTTGTTTTGGCTTTAGATCACCACAATGTTTACCCTTAAGCATTTTGCCAGCTGGTATAAAGGGGCGGGGTGGACCTTGGGGGCAGTCCTAGTAGCATCAGCGTATTCGTCTCATTCCCAGCAATTGTATATATGGTTTTGGGATGGGGATCTTGACCGTTTCCATGTATTACAGAGGTATGCCAAAAATTCCCCCATTTGGACCCCGCCCCTCCAGCCCCAGGGGTCGCACCAACTTCATTTGTATAAAATATGATCACCTTGCACCAGTGATGTTTCAGACCAAATATGGAACCAATCTGTGCAGCCATTCAGGAAGAGCAGGTGAGGTAATAAAACAAGAGGCCTGGAGGGCCTGTATTGTTCAGATAACTATGTTTTCCTGGATACGTATAATCATGAAGATATTATATGAAATGTAAACGCCAAGGCTATGCTCTTTTTTTTTGCATACTTGACAGGACTCTTTATGGTATGGTTGTGTTCTTGAAGGAAAATTTGTAGGCCTTGTGTAAAGGTTTAGCACATTTGACCTCTATGGCTTTGAATAAACTTTCCTGACCTCAGGCCTTTGGTTTTTAGAAGTTGTTATAAAGGTTTTTACATAATTTAAATTTACCCCAGTGACATTGACAGTAGGTCAAGGTCGTTTTCTTCGCAAAGTTAAAAGGCCTCCATTCCACTAACATACTGGCCAAATATCATAAAACTAGGCCTTCTTGACTCTTCAGAAGAATTAAGTCGTTAAAAAGTTAACGGACGAACGAACGGACGAAAGACGAACGATGCATCATCCCATAAGCTCCATGTGAGCTAAAAATGAAATGCAGTAAATAATACAGACAATTTTAAAAAGATCCCCACCACTGTGATTTTGTTTAAAATTTTTGTTGGATCATACTTGTAATTTTGTTCTTACCATCGGGGAAAAACAGCTCTTTGGCCTTTGTAAGGACCAATTCATAATCCGTTGATTCTACAAACTCCACAACTCTAGTCCCCCCTCCTCTCTGCGTCCTCACTTGCACATATTTGTGTTGTTTATAACACATCCATCCTAAATTCAGTTTCACTGCCCGTCTTTTCTTTTTTTCCTGGGTAGCTGTAACTGTTGCAGATGCATGCAGCTAAATGATCAGAAGAGAAATAATATTAGTTAGTGCACACTTATTATTAAGACTGAGTAAAAGTAAAAGTCTGAGTAAAGGACAACAAGAGGCAATGAAGGCTATGGGCCTGTACGCTCACCTGTTAAAAAGTATTGAAAATGGAAACTTCTCTATAGCCAGTGATAAATCTACAATTTTATATCAATGCAGGGTCAATTTCAATATTTTTAAAAAATTCTATGGAACAATAAATGTAAATTGAACAAATTTGCTGAAAATTAATGGATCATTAAAGAAATAATGCACCGATGGTGCAGGACTCGCATGTAGATTTATCACTGCATAGCAAAAGGCACCAGTAGGGCACTAGCTAGTCCAATACATGTAGCAAGTTTCGTGAAGTTGTGTTGAAGGATTTTGGAGTTACGCTCTGAAAACGGTAAATTTTGTGTTTTTGGCTATTTGTTTCCATGGTAACGAAAAAAGTATCGAAAATGAAAACTTCTCCATAAGAAAAGGCAGCTAACCAGTAGGGCATGGAAACGGAAACGGTGATCGGATGGACGCACGAACACACGCACTGACAGAGCCCAATTTAATACCCCCCGCAAATGTGTTTCTCCGGGGATAAAAAATTGACATGACCTGGGGATGATTCATACAAAATGTGCTTGAAATTCGGTTTAAAACTGAATTTTATTTTTACTTAATCCCGCTGTTTGTTACATGATCGTTTTCTTTGATTGAAAATTCTGAAAATGTGTAATGAACAGAATATTTAATAGTTTGCCGTTGCCCGTTGAATAAAACGTTTTCACTCGTCATAAAAATATTGAAGTATTCTGCCACACTCGTGAAATATAAACGGTATTTAATAGGAAATCAGTACATGTATCCTGTTTATAATGAATACGGAAAACCCCAAAATATCAACACACAATTTTTCCAACTGAACTCAATCAGGAATTCTGTAGTCGGGGGGNNNNGGGGTGGGTATGTAGCCAATGGCGAAGTGAATTTATTTCCGGGTGAGTTCATATATAAATCATCTCGCCCGTTTTGGCGAATGCGAAATAAAAACTCATATTCCTCCAATTACCGTTATGCCGGATTTAAATGTCTAAATTAGATCAGGTATGAACAGAATACGCATCCGACATGGTGTTTTCGTAACTGTAAACAAGTGTTCCGCTTTTTTAATGTCCTAAATTCATAACAACCGATGAATCGTGGTACGTTTTCAAAGTACTCACGTCGATTATAGTGATTGAACATTGATATTGCTAACGAAACTTGTAAATCCCAATGGATAAATGCTTCCGCTTTATGATCCAACTAAAAAACCTGATATATATGCGTTGCACATAATCACAATAGTTCTTAATTCCAACGTAGCCAAAATCTCGCTTCGAAACGTCCGCCATTTCTGTTTACAACACCGCGCATGCGCAGATGAGCAGCAAAAGTTAGTCCAGAGGCCAGCAAAGGGGTAGTTAATGGTTCTGTTTGTTACAGAGAACGCACAAAAGTGCTGTTATTAATATTTATTATTGGATTATGTTTTTTTCTTTCTCCTGGGACAGCTTCATAATCACACAGAAGCCTATAAAAACTAAAATAAAGGCATTAAATAATGCATTCCAGTTAATTTGGTGTTTTTGTTATATTTTTCAATTTAAATTTGGTCGAGTACAAATTCCATTTGGGCGAGTTGGTTTGTCAAGTTACTCGCCCAGTTTGGCGAGTGACCCAAATTTTTAAGCTCTAACACTGACTTATTGTGGAGTTGCTCTAACACTGACTTATTATGGAGTTCTAATTTGTCATCTATTAAACTACATACCATTTGAACTTCCTGATGCCAATGGTCGATTATCATTAGCTGCCAGTGCTAGGTTTTCTCCTTCCCGGAGCATGTAAAGGATGCTGTCACTGGCAATCTGTCTCAACCCATCGTCATCATCTAGCTGGCCCCCATCCGGCAGCACAATCTTGATAGGGCCTAGACCTTCTCCGACTTCAAACTTTTGCTTATTTTATGCTTATAATATAAAATGTCTAACATTCAAAGCGACTATTTTCATATTTTGCACTCTTTTTTCTTGTCTGATATATATGAAACCTGGCAAACAACTTGCATAGGCTGAATGTTTTATTTATCATATTTTAATTAATGGGCAAATTGCATAATGTTGATCTTTTAATTTTGCTTATTATCAAAACATTGTTATCTTTTATACATTTTTCGGAAACTAATTATTGCAATGGTACGGTGGTATAAAGCTGCCATCGACTTGTTGAGATCATTTATCTCGTCATGTCGACTTGTACAAACTTGTCATGTCAACATGTGATAATCAAGTCGATATGACGAGATAAATTATTGAATTTGTAACATGTCCACATAATTTTTCTCAACATGTTAATATAATACGCACTTTTATGACACTACATTTTGTATTGGCAATACGGCTTTTGCTTACTCAACAAGTCGACATGACATGTTCCATTATCGCAACAAGTCAACATTACGTCTTCTGTTATCGCGACAAGTCGACATGACGTCGTTACATTGTCATGTCGACATGACATGATAATTTATCTCGTCATGTCGACTTAATTATCACAACATGTCGACATGACGAGTTTGTTCAAGTCGACATGACGAGATAAATTATCTCAACATTTCAACAAGTCGATAGCAGCTTTAATTATACAGTAACCGTACAATGGGATTACAAAATCACAAAAATACGTATTTAGTCCCTTTAAGCTACCAACAGAGTTTTATGATTAAAGTATCAATATTCAATAATGTATGTATTACAGAGCCTCATCTATAAGCTTTTTTTTGCAGGACTGGAACATAAAACAAGAGCAATTTTCTTCATGATACTGATCGAGGCCAAACAAAAAATAGTTGTTTCACCCCAACCAAACATATTATTTACATCCGACATTAAAACATTTTTGTACACTGGGATCGGTCTAGTTACCGGAAAAACAAACGTTTCTTCTTTTGACCTAAGCTGCAAATAGTCAAATACAAAAGTCAACCTAGCCTCAAAAGCATCTGACTTTCCAACCAGACTTTTGACTATATCATTTATAAACAGTTTTATACTTTAATTTGTTTATAAATATTATTTTTATAAAGAATAGTTATATAACAAAACCAACAAAAACTTAAATAAATCAAGTGATAAAAAAATCAGTCTAACATCGTAAGTAGGATCAAAATGTTCTTTTTTCAATTACTCAGACTTTGTGAAATAATTCTGAAGTTTATTCGACCGAACACCAAAGATTGCATATAATTCCATTTTTGTCTTAGTAAACTTCCTGGTATTTTCACCGGACCATATACATGTATATACATCTTGCACCGCATATTATTTAAAGCTATGCATGATACCTACAAAAAGCACAGATTTGGTGGACAAAAGGTGCATGTATAAAAAGGCGAAAGATACCTTTCATGATGAGATCGTCAAAATGGTCCACAACCACTAACTTTCCAGTGGTGGCATTGCAATTCCATATTTTTAACGCTTTGCCTTTGATGTTGGACATTTTCAGATCTGCAACAAAATCAATGATATTAATTAAATATGAGTAGATAGGAGAAGAGCTCTATATATATGGCCCTCCAACATACCAAAATGCTATTAATAAGATGTGGTATTAAAGGGACTAGAAAGATGGTTTGCGCGCTTTTTTGTTTGCAATATTATGGTTAAAACAGTGTTATACGATTTAATACGATACATAATGGATCCAGGCTTTAAGCCTTTATGTCCATATCAATTATCATTTACAGTGCAAAACTATACGTTAACTTTCTGATATATGACCTTGGGTACATCTGTCGATCATGCTGTATTTTTCTAACTGGACCATCAGAAACTTTCTTTATCAATTATATATAAACAGTTTGTTTATAATATACCGCCATTGCTACCGAAAACTTATCCCAAATGCACCACCTGACATCTCAATACATAGCGTTCCAGACTTCAATTCAAGGGGTCTGGGGTTCGACACCCGGCGGGACCACTTATGTTTTTGTGTAGATAAAATGAAATAGAATTAAATATTTCTGTGTATACGTGAGATCCATCTGTTCACCTCCGGTAACAAAATTTATTGACGTACAATATAACTACTCAGTCGCTTTTATAGGGGTTCTGGGAGAGTTAGCCAGAAGACTTGTCCTGAAGTTATTCTTAGAATAAATCTACCCGTCCACCCGGGTCCTTATTTATAGATCTCGGAGCGCTATGTGTTTGTTGGTCTTTGTCAGCTTTAAACAGGGTTTTTTTATCAAGAAAATCATAAATATTTTATAGATCTGTGTATGGTAAAGTAGGAATTCAAAGCATTAAATGTAATATTTGAATGCAATACAGATTTTTGTTATTATGGATGACGCTGATTTGGCTTTGTGTGCTATCATCCCCTACAAAATTATCTCTTGGTGGGGAGGGGGGATGTAACAATAGAACTGTCATATGATGTCAAATATTTTTTTTTGGTGAAAATAAAAGTATGTAGGCGGATACACCCTTCAAGGATCAGAGCCGCAGGTGGCCGGGTTAACTGCGCAAATGGATTTTTCTTTCGTCATGAACTATATATTGCTGTCTTATCGTCTGGAAACATCTAAAATATCATCCAGTGCACTGCATTGGAAAATTAAATGCAACATCATATTAAAACGCAAATAAACACAGTTTTCTGTATTTTTTCCATAACATAGAGCGAGTAATGATGTTTGACCTTTTACTAAAATTTAAAAGTTAGTGTGTCATATGTGCCAGAATAACAAAAGTGAAAAAATGAATTTTTGAATGGAAGTTATGAACACATTAAATCAGGCAGTCTAATGTTCGGTACCTGCGTGATTACCTTCTTTGTTCGACCGTACTGGATTGTAAGGTAGCAGAGTACAGTAGCGTACGGTGGCCATGGGTGATATTTTTATACAATGAATAACCCCTGTAATATAA